TGACCTTTCTGTCTTGTGATCTGGTTCACTGAGATTTCATCTGTTTCACAGGACATTACCTTGACAACTATGCTAACGACTTCAATGTGAGACATGGAAGAGCGGGAAGTTATGTATCTTAGATGTATATGTTAGACAGAAAAATACAGTGGCCTGCCACCTCAGCCAAATTTTCTGAAGGTAAAAGGCCTGCAGCACGTCAGGGTATCTCCTCCAACATAAAGGACAACTTGCTGCCCCTTGCCCCATCACGCCTCTCCTGCTAACGAAGAGGAGCAATGCTTGCTGGGCCATTTTAAGTTTTGGAGACAGCAAATATGTTATGCTTGCATTCAACTCTGATCTCTCAATTTAATCCATCTAATCCATCTAATCAATCTACCCACCTACCTACCTACCTACCTACCTACCTAGAGACAAGGTCTCGCTCTGTCACACAGGCTGCAGTGCAGTGGTGCAATCACAGCTCACTGCAGCCTCAAACTCCTAGGCTCAAGCAATACTCCCACCTCAGCCTCCCAGGTAGCTGGAACTATGGATGCACACCACCACGCCCAGCTAATTTTTTGAAGAGGCAGGCTTTTGCCATGTTGCCCAGGCTGGTCTTGAGCTCCTGGACTCAAAGTGACCTGCCTGCCTCATCTCCCAAAGTGCTAGGATTAAAGGCATGAGCCACTGTGCCCAGCCTCTGACCAATTTATTGAGTGATCTGAAAAGAGAAGGTACTCCTGCTGATCCAGGCCACAGAGAAATAAGCTCTGGTAGACTGTATGGAGTTCTAAAGTGTTTGTAGTAAGGTAAACAGAAGAATCATAATGAAAAACCCTAAAATACGGAAATAAGACCATGATCCTATTGGCAAGACCATGCTCCTAGCCTAGTACTGGGCTCTAAGGTAGAAACTATAAGCCTGATCACAGATACAGGTATCCAAATGACTTGAACTCCCCATCATAAACTAGGTTTTTTTTTTTTTTGAGGCAGAGTTTTGCTCTTGTCACTCAGGCTAGAGTGCAATGGCGTGGTCTCAGCTCACTGCAACCTCTGTCTCCTGGGTTCAAGTGATTCTCCTGCCCCAACCTCCCAAGTAGCTGCGATTACAGGCGTTTGCCACCACGCCTGGCTAATTTTTGTATTTTTAGTAGAGACAGGGGTTTCACCATGTTGGCCAGGCTGGTCTTGAACTTCTGACCTCAGCCTCCCAAATTAAAGGGATTACAGGCGTGAGCCACCAGGCCGGTCTCATAAACTAGGTATTATGTGATCCAATCAGCCATAGATTTGAACATGCCCAGCAGAATCCCATTATCAGCTGGAAGTGATTGCTATAAAATGCCTACCACACAAACCACTGCTGCAATAGATACTACTGACTTCCTATTGACATCAACAGTTAACTGAAGAAGAAAAAGTCTGGCCTGGTATATAAATTGCTTGGTGAGACATGCTGGCCCATGCTGGAAGTAGACTGCTATGGGGTATATTACTTAAGTGATGGCTTTCAATGTGTATAAAAACGAAATCCTCCTAATGAAGTGAACTTCAAGCAAATTATCACACTACTTATCTCACTGGAGGTCAGGATCTAAACCAATCGCTGGGTAGTAAATAACTAGAACAAGAAAGGAAATATTTATGTTCCATGTGAATGCTCACCAGATGGCACTCATTGCTAGAAACCCAGGTGATGAAGGTCAGGCCTTTCCCTCACTACCCTAGTGCTGGCCCAATGAGCTCGTGAACACAGTTGCCATGGTAGCACAGCAAATGGCTCTCACCACAATATCTATCTGAATTTACCTATCATGCCTCCAGGAATACCATCACCATCCAGGGATTTACTGAAATACCTTATCATGGGGTCTCAGGGAATATTACCTCCAAACAAATAATTTGTTTCATGCTTACGTAAATTTAATGTTATGGAAAAAGAAAAGAACTAATTTGACAGAAAAAAGTATAGTAATGGGATCACATACCTCATCACCCAGAGGCAGGTGGTATTATAGATTACAAAACAGTATAATGCCTAGCACAGATCCAGCTATGGTACTGAGGCTGGAGGGCTGTCTTGTGAGATGTAGTAATTTTTTTTTTTTTTTTTTGAGATGGAGTTTCACTCTTGTCACCCAGGCTGGTGTGCAATGGTGCTCACTGCAACCTCCGCCTCCTGGGTTCAAGCAATTCTCCTGCCTCAGCCTTCCAAGCAGCTGGGATTACAGGTGCGTGCCACCACACCTGGCTAATTTTTGTCTTTTTAGTAGAGATGGGATTGCGCCATGTTAGCCAGGCTGGTCTTGAACTCCTGGCTTCAGGTGATCTGCCCGCCTTGGCCTCCCAAAGTGCTGGGATTACAGGTATGAGCTACTGTGCCTGGCAGGATGTGGTAAATCTTATCAATCAATAATGAACATTAAATGGTGCTATTTTTCCAATAGCCCCCCAAAAAGGTCCAAGCTATTCTGTTAACTCTTGCTTGGTAAATGGTCTCCCACTTCAACTCTTGCCTCTCCCTTTTATCTATTCTCTATATTGTAGTCAGTGATTTTCTCAAAATGCAAATCTGACATCACCCACCACTCCCCTTAAGCCCTTCTATTGTGGAGCAGATATGAATAGTGACTTGTTGACCCAATAACCATTCCTCCTTTACCAGACCTCCTATTCTGTGAGGTTATCCATCCATATCCCACATGAGTATCTAAAAAAATATTTTTTTTTAAGACAGGGTCTGGCTCTGTTGTCCAGGCTGGGGTGCAGTGGAGTGAATCTGACTAACTGCAACCTCCACCCCCTGGGCTCAAGAGATACTCCCACCTCATCTCCCATGTAGCTAAGACTGTAGGCATGTGCCACTATGCTCAGCTAATTTTTGTATTTTTGTTGTTGTCATTGTTGTAGAGATGGGGTTTCACCGTGTTGCCCAGGCTGGTTTCAAACTCCTGTGCTCAAGGCAATCTGCCTGCCTCAGTCTCTCAAAGTGTTGGGATTATAGATGTGAGCCAGCGTGCCTGGCCTTGACCCAGGAATAATCTAGACTAGTCTCAGTCAGCCACAGTAATCTTATTTTCTCCCTTGCTCATGACAGGTTTAAGAAGGAACATGTGACAAGAGAAGTCTCCAGAAGCTTTTGGGAAAATTTTTCCCACTGATAAAAAAAGAGTCAGCCTATAAGGCAAAGCTGACACATGGCTTAGTGGAAAGGTATGAAGGAAACTGACGGTTTAGCAATGCCCCAGCTGATGTATTTACCAACTCCGGAACTGCTCCTCTGTGTCCTTAAATCCATCTCCCACTTCCTAGTCATGACCACTTTAGGTCAATCTATTAGCACTTCTGATATTAACACCTGTAACCCCTAACTGTATTCCCCGCAACTATTCTGGTCTGCCCATGGGCTATTCTCCTTACAGAAGCCAGAGTCAATTTTTTTTTTTTTTTTTTTTTTTGAGACAAAGTCTCACTCTGTCGCCCAGGCTGGAGTATAGTGGCACGATCTCAGCTCACTGCAAGCTTCGCCTCCCGAGTTCACGCCATTCTCCTGCCTCAGCCTCCTGAGTAGCTAGGACTACAGGCACCCGCCACCACGCCCAGTTAATTTTTTGTATTTTTAGTAGAAATGGGGTTTCACCGTGTTAGCCAGGATGGTCTTGATCTCCTGACCTTGTGATTCGCCCGCCTTGGCCTCCCAAAGTGCTAAGGATTACAGATGTGAGCCACTGTGCCCGGCTGAGTCATTTTTTCAAGATGTAAATCTGGCTGCTCTATGGCTTGCCACTTCTCTCATGACTATCTGCAAGGTCTGTGGTCTGGCCAGCCATCTTTCATAGTTTCACCTCTTATCCTCCTTTGAAGCTCGGCTCTTCAGCCGCACACAGCCCTGTTGTGTTCTGGATGTGCCCTCCCTCAGCACACTCACTCCTGACAATTTGCTCCTGCTATTTCCAGTGCCCAGAAGGTTCCCCACTGCCCTTTCCCCGCCACCCTTGCCTATGATTAGGTATCAATTAAAATATCATTTATTCGAGGAAGCTCTTCTTTTGTTTTTCTGAGACGGAGTCTTGCTGTGTCGCCAGGCCAGAGTGCAGTGGTGCGACCTTGGCTCACTGCAACTTCCGCCTCCCGGGTTCAAGCGATTCTCCTGCCTCAGCCTCCTGAGTAGCTGGGACTACAGGTGCATGCCACCATGCCCAGCTAATTTTTGTATTTTTAGTAGAGACAGGGTTTCACCAAGTTGGCCAGGATGGTCTCGATCTCTCGACCTCGTGATCCGCCCACCTCGGCCTCCCAAAGTGCTGGGACTACAGGCGTTGAGTCACCGTGCCAGCCAGAAGCTCTTCTGATCTAGGATCAGAACTGGTAGGCTAGGATCACCAACTGGTAGTTTACAAACGTATTCTGCTTCCTTGTGGGAATTATAAATACTAATCTAAATACTCAAGATGAGAACTGTGCTCTGTAGTCTCCCATGGTTCCCATTTCCCACACTGACCTATCCTACTGTCTACTTTAAACACTGACACCCCTGCTCTAGACTCAAAAAGGCAACCTCTTAATATGGATGCCTACAAATACGCACCAGTCCTTCACGTGCTGCACTGCTGCTTGAACTTAGTTAGTTTTGTTCTTGTTTGTGGGGTTTCCCTCCTGGACAGTGAGTTAATTGAGAGTAGGGACTGGACCTGTTTCTGCTCCTCATCATATCACTGGCAACTAGAATACTACCTGACACATATTAGATGCTTGCTATGTATTTATTAAACAAAAGAAGTAAGAGATGTGATGATGAATGAATGGATGGGTAGATTAGGAGGTGAGGCAAATCTTACTTCATTTCCAATCGATGATCATACAGGGAGTCAGATAAACTTGGTAAAACATTTCTCACCTCTTAAACATTAAAAGCCCATTTTTTACTTCATGACTCAAAAGGTCTGAAAGGTCTGACCTTAGGTCTGTCTTCTTCCCTGCTGATACACCAGTCTCAACAAAATACTCACGTTGAATTCCTCCCTGAAGAGCTTATTGTCGTCTGCCATTCTCCGGTTAATTTCCTCTTCCAGCTTGTCCACGGGCAGGGGTGGGTACTTCCTGTTGGTGCTTGGGGATCTGGCCAGAAGTGGCACACTCTGGGGCTCTGCAGTACACAAGGGAGAAGGTCAGTCAGGTGCCCTGAGGACCTAGCCCCTTTTCTGGAGGCTAAACTGGGGGTTCTACCTCATGGACCAGGCCTGTAAAAAGTAGGACTGTTCTCTTCAAAAATCTTCTTTTTTCCTCTTTTTATCGTCTTATTCTTTTAAAAGGATGGAGAAACTCCTAATTTCTTGATTTCCTTCCTTGTGAAGGTTCCCCAGGACATTAAGGAATGCCTTACCCACATCCTCAGTGCGGCCGTTGGATAAGCGGAAAGAATTGGAATGGCTCCCAGCTTGCTTGTATTTCTTAAACCTAATGAGAAAATGATCACAGTGAAGAATGAAGCACAGAGGCGGGAGAGGCAAATCACAGCTCTGTATTCCTGCTCATCAATTCAGCCTTTCTAAATCTCCTTTAAAAATAATCGGGCTTTTTTAGAGACAGGTCATGCACACTCTGAGCAGCAGCATGCTGGGGCGACCAAGTACCTCGGGATACTCCTGTTTACCCTCGGCACACTAGAACCCAACCAGGGAACCCCAACAGTATATTCAGGCTCATGTGGCTCACTGGAGAGCACAGCCACACCAGGTGGAGAGAGAGTGAGTGGATAGAATACAGTTGGGGGAGACAGACAATATATATCAAACAAAAATATTGGTATTTCCTCAGTGTAGCCTGGGAGACCCAGGGAGAAGCCCAGAGCTTTGGACTGGGTGGACACAGTTTTGGCCACAAGTCTCCTGCAGAATGATGGAGACATATAACAAATTATAGGGGGCACACGATTCCCCTCTCTTTATCCCTGCAGAAGAACAGAGGGAGCACAGAATAGGTTAGGCCAAAGATAAGGCAGGGCTAAACCCAATTAGTCAGGGCAATAGCTTTAGCAGGAAGAGAATAAATGCACCACCCTCTTCTCTCCCTTGGATTCCCCTTCCTTGCTTCTGCTTGAGTGGTAATGTCTAGAGGATCCTGAAAGAAGGTTAGAAAGAGGGATCCTGTAACTCACAACTCACATGGCTCAGCTCAGCATGCCAGGGCCAGGGGTCCCAGAAGGGTTTGGGGATAAAACCCCAACTAGAAATAAAGTAGGCTTTTGTTGAGCATGTAATCTTACTGGGGCCCTTTTAGGGGTTCCTTCAACAGGGCTAGACCTAAAGATCCTGTAACACCTGTCCCTAATAACAAACTGTGGTTTCTTACTTCAACCTCCAAACTACCATTCTGGGTTTTAGCTTGCACTGGAGTTGGGGAACTGGGCTTGGACAGATGGAAGAAAGAGGGAGGGTTTAGGACTTAAGGAAGACTATATAGAGCTTTTAAATCATTTCTAAGTAGAACTTCAATTTTAGCACCATCATGTGCCATTCCCCCTCTATCCTATTCATTGTGTATATCCTACTGTCTACTGGACTGTGTGGGTTCATTGGGACACTGGGGTATTGAAACAGAATCTAAGAGAACATGAAGTGTTAGTAGGCTCACCTTAACATGTACAAAACTATGATAATAAACACGATCACTAGCAGAGAGGACAGGGCCACCATCACCGCAATAATTGGTGTCTCATCTGAAATCAAGAGAACAGAACAAGTCATTACTGTGTAGTGCAATGGAGGGTTTAAGTCAGCCATTCAAGGGAACACCCTGAAGAGGAAGAGCTCATTCAGTCCTGCAGATGCCAGGAAATGGAAACAGAGAAGAGTGTGAGTATGCACCTCCCACTGCCATGCCAGGGCTATTGAGGTGAGGTGGGGAGAGAGCATGGGGCCCAGGATGACATGCTCACCCCATCTCTGACTATCATACATTTATTTACTCTGTCTCCCTGCACTAGAATAAAAGCTCTTTAAAGGCAGACAGTTTGTTTTACTCACTGCTATATCCTTTGAGCCTAAAACAGTACTTAGCACGTAAAAAGTATTGGACTATCTGGAGGCATGAACACATCCAATTCTGATGGCAAGCTAGGTATGCAAGGCCAACACTGTACACTCTCTCAGCCTCAATGGGCTCCATCTAGAGGAAGATGGGAGAGGAAGGCAAAAAGACGGTTTTCCTATCATAAACCCAAATGGTTTCCTGGCGCAGAGAATATTGTTCCTAATTAAAACAAGGAGACAGGTAGGGTACAATGGCTCACGCCTATAATCCTAGCATTTTAGGAGGACAAAGCAGGTGGATTGCTTGAGCCAAGGTATTCGAGACCAGCCTGGACAACAGGGTAAAACTCCATCTCTACTAAAAATTAAAAAAAAATAGCCGGTGTGGTGATGTGTGCCTATAGTCCCAGCTACTTAGGAGGCTGAGGTAGGAGGATCACTTGAGCCCAGGAGATGGAGGTTACAGTGAGCTGGGACTGTGACACTGCACTCCAGCCTGGGCAACAGAGCAAGACGGTGTCTCAAAACAAACAAACAAGGACAGCTGGGTGTGGCAGCTCATGCCTATCCCAGACTTTGGGAGGCTGAGGTGGAAGGATTGCTTGAGGCCAGGAATTCAAGACCAGCCAAATAAAAATAAAACAAAACAAGGAGACATTATTAGATCCTCAGCCACCATGTAACAAAACTGCTGGGTGCTTTTTTTTTTCCTCTTTCCACACGCTGCTCCCTCAGTCACCTTTTGCCAGGACCCCAACCATGGCAACATCTGGCTTGAAGAATGGCAATCCCACCTCATTTCACAGGGCCTGGCTCCCTTTCACCCAATACCTAGCCTTGCTTCTCATGCAGCTGGCCAGGCACTGACTCATCCGCCTCCATTCTCACCCCCCACCTCACTCCATGAACTATACCATCAGAGTGGCTTGGTAACTATCTTCACCATTTTCCTACCTGCTAAAAGGGAAGACAAGTCCCTCCCATCCTGTCATGTGTGCTCTGGATTACATCCACTGCTGTCACCTCAAAGACTTGTCTTCTTGACCTCATTTACCCTCCTCCAGCCACCACCAGCCTTGCTTGCGTCTCTCTTCTCAGCTGACTTTCCACACAGCTGTCTAATTCGTCTTGTCTAACTCCTTACCTCCAGGTTCTCCTTAATCTATTTGCTCTGACTCCCACCCTCAGTGCTCTGTTTAAACTGCTCAGCCAGAATACCAACAAATGTCATATTGCCAAATCCAACAGGAACATTCCCATCCTCATCTGATTCAACCTTTTAGCAGCATTCATTCAAATATTTGTGGCCAGCAATTTCATGCCATTGTTTGAGAAACTAGGAGCAGAGAAGTGTTCAAGCAGACAAGTGATAGAAAGCTTACATTCTGTGGGGAGGAAGGAGGACACTGTTTATAAACAAGTCAATACTTAATTTTAGACAGAGACAAGTGCTATGAGGAATAAAAAGCAGGGTGGGGAGAGAGAAAGTGACAGGTTGGGGAGCAGTGATGAGTGGTCTGGGAAGGCCTCTCTGAGGAAGTAATATATGAGCAGAGCTCTAAATAACGTGAAGAGAACCATGCAAAGATCTGGATGAAGAGCTTTCTAGACATAGGGAACAGCAAGCATAGTAGCTCTTAGGAGTTTGGCAGGTTTAAGAAATAGCACAAAGGCCAGTTCAATATAAGATGCCAGAGAGGTGGGCAAAAGCCAGCAGACTTAGGACTTGGGAGTCCATTGCAATGATTGTGGATTTAATTCTGAGTGTGATGAGAAACACTATGCCATTGGAGGGCTTTGAACAGAGGAGATATATAACTGGATTTACATTCTCTTAAAAGCTAAACTGACCCATAAGCAACAGCCATGAGGTGAGAGGTTAATCTAAGAATGCAGTGTCATAGAAGCCAAGAGCAGAGATTTTCAAGGAGGGAGCAATCAATTCAATCAAATATTGCCTACAGACTTAAGAAGGATGAGACAGAGAAGTGAAACCAGATTTGACAAGACGGTGGCTACTGGTGACCTTTCCAAGAGTGTCTTCAGTTGAATATGGGTGAGAAAGCCTAAAAGGAGTGAAATAAAGATAGAAAAAGGACAAAGTGAGACACCGGGTCCTTTCGGGGGGACTTTTAACATTAAGGGATACAGTGGAAGGGAGATATGAGGTGGACAGATGGGTTTTTTTTTGTTTGTTTTTAGAGAGATGGAAGATATTACACAATGCTTCTTTGTTAATGGTAAGTTTCAAACATACTGTGGTATGTGGCTCTCATCTTAAAATGAGCATTTGGACTGGCTGATCACTCCTTCCTCTCTGAAGCACTTTCCTCTCTTAGCTTTCCACAACGAAGCACTCCTCTGATTTTCCTTCTATCTCTTGTCTGCTCCATCTCAGTTTCCCTCACTATCTGTTCCTCTTCCAACACCAGATCTCTAAATGTGGGAATTCCTCAGGGCTCTGTCCCTGGTACTTTTCTCTCTATCTAGTTAATCTGATCAGAGAGATGACTATAAATACAAATGCCATGCTAGCAATTCCCACAGTTGCTTTGTTTGGTCAGACCTCTTTTCTGAGTTCCAGATTCTCGACTGCCTATTTTCCACCTCCACTTCAAATTTCATAGGCAACACAAGCTTTCTGTGTTTAAAACCTTTCCCTCACCATTCAGTAGCTAGTACTCTAATCCACCCTGTTGCTCAAGAAAGAAATGTGGAAACCCCCTTGATTTCTTCCTCACACTTATCTTCTATATCTAGCACAGCTGCAAGTAATATATTTTAGAGTTATATCTAAAACTTCAAATCTGCCTTTTTTTTTTTTTGCATTTTTTTTTTTATTGCCACCAGTGTAGTCCCAACCTCCATCCTCTCTCACCTGGATCACAGTAAGCCTCTGCCCCTGCCAATCTATTCTCCGCAAAGCAGAGGGATCTCTAGGAAAGCAACTTAGGGTGTATACCAATCTTAGGTAAAACCCTCCAACAGTTTCTCATGCCTTAGAACGAAATCTAGTCTCTTTATCCTGGACTCTAACAACCCCCTTGATCCAGCCCCTACTTGCCCTACCTCTTGCACTCTTTCCTTGCTCACTCAATTTCAGCCACTGGTTGTCCTTCCACGCTTTCTTTCATTCATCCATCCTCAGGCCTTTGAACATGTTATTCCTTCTGCTTTACACAGCCTCCCTCTGTTCTTTGCCTGGCTATCTCCTACTTGTCTGGTTCTCTGTGTGTCACTTTTCCCACACAGGTCTTCTCTGACTTCCTAATACTAAATTAGGATCATAAGTTTCAGTTTCCTCATTTCTGAAATAAGTTATTCTGCATATTAAATTAGACCATTCATGTAAAGTGGTTGGCACAGTAACTAGCACACAGTATGTACTTAATTTTAGCTGTTATGGCTGGGCACGGTGGCTCATGCCTGCAATCCCAGCACTTTGGGAGGCTGAGGTGGGCAGATCAGGTCAAGAGTTCGAGACCAGCTTGGCCAACATGGTGAAACTCCATCTCTATTAAAAATACAAAAAAAAGCCGGGCGCGGTGGCTCAAGCCTGTAATTCCAGCACTTTGGGAGGCTGAGACGGGTGGATCACGAGGTCAGGAGATCGAGACCATCCTGGCTAACACGGTGAAACCCCGTCTCTACTAAAAAATACAAAAAACTAGCCGGGCGAGGTGGCGGGTGCCTGTAGTCCCAGCTACTCGGGAGGCTGAGGCAGGAGAATGGTGTAAACCCAGGAGGCGGAGCTTGCAGTGAGCTGAGATCCGGCCACTGCACTCCAGCCTGGATGACAGAGCAAGACTCCGTCTCAAAAAAAAAAAATTACAAAAAAAATTAGCCAGGCGTGGTGGCACATGCCTGTAATCTCAGCTACTTAGGAGGCTGAGGCAGGAGAACTGCTTGAACCTGGGGGGCGGAGGTTGTAGTAAGTCGAGATTGCAGCACTGCACTCCATCCTGGGCGACAGAGCAAGACTCAGTCTCAAAAAAAAAAAAAAAAAAAAAAAAAAAAAAGGCTTTTATTTCTTATACTATTTTTGTAAGGCAAGGACCTTATTATTTTCCTTGATAATACCTCTCACACTTTGTAATTATATGACTGTTGTTGATTAATCAATATCCCTCCTTTATAGCATAAATTCCACAAGAGCAAGAATTACATGTCTGCTTCATTCTCACTGTACACCTAAAGCCTAGCATAGGGTCTCACACATAACAGGCACAAAACAAACAATGTATTACATTGAGCCAAAGAACAAAAAGAAATAGTAATTTATCACTAAATACGTCTTTGTTAAATTCTAACTACAGGGGGCAGTATATCAGGTATTATAATAAAGTAATTAGGCACATTCCAGCACTTTGGGAAGCCGAGGCAGGCGGATCACAAGGTCGGGAGTTCAAGACCAGCCTAGCCAATATGGCGAAACCCCACCTCTACTGAAAATACAAAATTAGCCGGGTGCAGTGGCACACACCTGTAGTCCCAGCTACTCAGAAGGCTGAGGCAGGAGAATCGCTTGTACCTGGGAGGCGGAGCTTGCAGTGAGCTGAGATCGTGCCACTGCACTCCAGCCTGGGTGAAGGAGCGAGACTCCGTCTCAAAAAATAAATAAATAAATAAATAAACTAATTAGGCACATTTGGCTTAAGACACTGGACTAAATCTATACATTTACTTC